TCTGTTCTGCGGTGGGTGCTCGGCGGCCCCCAGCCTCCCTGGTCCCCTCCCAGCGCGCACACACCCAGGGAGGGGAAGGTCAGAATGATGACACGTGTGTCTTTTGTTTGTGGTCTTTTTTTTCTCCCCAGGGAAGTCTAACTCAGAAGCAGTATTTCAGGTTTTTGTCTTTGTTTTGTCAGTGCCAAGTTGACCTGTTGTGTCATATAACTTAAGCAGAGCTTAGCTTTTATTTTATTCTTAGAAAACTTAAGTATTGATTTTTTTTTTTAGAAGAAACTTCTTTTGCAGTATTACTGAATTTTTTTTTCCCCTAAATCAGGATTGAAACAAAAACTTTTCCAGGTGGTGTTAATAAGCCATTCAAGTGCCTTAAACAGCTTTAGGTAGGGTTAGAACCACCGGGCCTGGACGGATTCTAACAGGCATGTTTCCGTTTTTACAGAAGCAGGATTTATTTTGTTATAGTGGCATGATTTTGGCTAGAATTCTTCCCAGACGAGTTCTTTCCACCTCTTGTGATTCCATTCGCTGCTGACAGCAGAGCAGCCCTGAAGAACATAGGCTGTGCTGTGTGGCCTGGGCCAGACGGCAGGGCTCCGGGAGATCAGGGCGACCACAGCCCCGCCAGCCTCCCTCCACGCCTGGGCCTTGCTGCTCATGTCTCTGGCCTGGTGCCCAGGCTGAGGGACTGAGCTCCATGAAGTGGGCTCCTCGTTTGACTGGAATGTCCTAGAATGTCTTGTGTTAGCAATCAAATTGGTTTCATTGGAAAACACGCTTAGAGTCCCCAGCAAGTCCGAGGGCAGCCTGAGGGCGTTGGGCTCTGTTTGGAGCCTATCCCGCCCACCCGCCCCACAGCCCCCAAAACCCCTCCTCCTGTCTCCCGCCTGCCACGGCTGCACCCTCTGCCATCTTGCTCTGACCACATGGGGGAGAGCTCTACATTCCCTAGCATGCTCTGGGCACATGAGGCTCGGGAGCCACGAAACTTGGGTGACTCGGGCTGCTCACATCCAGTGAGGCGAATATGGCATGGGTGTCCAGTTGGAAGTGGCAGGGCTGGGTGAAGAGTCCAGGCAGAGGTCAAGGGCCCAGAGAGAGGGGTCTCCGGTGGGAGGACCCAGGCCTACAGGTCTGGGAACGGCAGTGGGTGGCTTAGCTGAGGCTTCTGGAGAATGTCGCTGGGAGGTGGGCAGCAGGAGGAAGCTTGGCACCAGGTCCCCCAGGCTGGGAGGTCCTATGAGGGTACTCAGAATCCACCCGCAGTGGCTAGGCCCCAGCAAGGAGAGTGCAGGGAGGACCGTGATCCCAGTGCACAGGGGAGCCTAGGCGCCCCCCCCCCCGGACCCTGCAGCAGGAAGGGAGGGAGGCAGCTCAGGGCAGGCAGCGGGGCAGTGGGAGCTGCCCCCCGCAGGCTTAGCCTTTACTCCTCACTCCCACGACAGGGATGAGGGAGCCCATATGATGCAGCCGATGCCCTGCCCCAAGGCTCGATATGGAAGGCATCTTAAACATGGTCACTGCAATTCAGAGGTTTGGTGGGAGCCAACAGTGACCTAGAATTGCCCCACTTAATCTGAAGGCGTCGCTGCTTTCTAGGGGTCTGAAGCCCCCTCTTCGGCCCTTCCCCAGCGCAGGGCTGGTCAGAGGCAGCATGTGGGCCTGCCCTTCACCAGCGGCCTGGCTGCTCCCCGGCATGACCTTAGCAGAGGGTGGAAGCGTGGACTTCTGTTGTCCTCCTTTCTTTGCCAGTCGGATCCTGTGATTGCCACCAAGAGTGGGGCTTCCCCCGTGGAGTGTGGCTTTCACCGTGTGGTGGTCTGATTCACGCCCTGGCTCGAGGCTCCATCAGGAGATCTCTCCAGGCTTGCCCAGTGACCACCCCCGTCTGGCAGAGGCTTCTGCTGTCTGGTGCTGCTCATCTTTGCCTGGGGGCTGAGGGAGCCCTTCTTCCTCCTGCACAGACACCGGCTCTGTGCAAGCACCTAGGCATAGAGGCCTCTTCCCTCTTGACTGGGTCTGGACTGGGAGCCACTGGGTGTCTTCGGCCTCTGAAAGCCCTGGCCCCCCTCCTCTCCAGGCCACAGTCCTAAGAGGGCCCCAGGTCTGGAAGCCCCAATCCCCTTCTCAAATCCTCGCTTTGCCACTAGCTTGTTGTATGAGCTGAGCAAGTCATGGAGCCTCCCTGGCCTCAGTTTCTCCTCTCTAGGGCACAGGGTTGCACCAAAGCTGTGATTCTGGAGGTTCGGGGGCTACCCGAGGCAAGCCTGGTGCGTCCCAGGGAGCTGCTGCCCGTGCCACGAGAGCCCTCCCTGGCTGCTAGCAGGGAGGGGTGATGAAGTATTATTAGCGTCTATTCTTACAGTTAAGTGGGCTGGGAAAGAATGGAGCTGCAGATGCTAGGGTTGGGCCTTACATGGAACACAAAAGCTCAGAGCAGGCCCTGCTTTTACAGGTAGAGCTGACTGCAAGCCAGCAGGGGTGGGAGAAGCAGACAGGCTCGGCTCCCTCCCTCTGCATATGTGAGGCAAAAGGGAATGGAGAGGGGCAGGGTACAGCTGGGCTTTCCCTGACCTCGCACCCAGGACGAGGAAAGGGATGTGCTTTAGGGGGAACAGTGACAGGGGCAGGCCCCACTGGAGACGCACAAGCTCTCCGAGGTCCCGAGCCAGCCTTTGGCCGCAGCCCTCTCTCCCCCTACCCTCCCCAGCCGGCATGCGGCCCTCACCCCTTCCCGTGTCCCCTTGCAGGTGGCCCGGCTACCTCAGCAGTATTCCTGGGGCCTGGGGTACAGCTCCGCCGGTTCCTAGGCCTGACCCTGACAAGGGCTCAATGGAAACTTGCTGGGCCTATGCAAGATAAGCTGGTTTGGGTTTGATTCTGCCTGTCGCCCAAGGGAGGCAGCCCCAGGAGGCCTGTGCTTTTCGCCGAGGCTCCGCAGCTTTGCCAAATGCGCCGAGCTTTGCCATTCATGCGCCATGCCAGCCTTGCCAAGGGTTCATCTGTGCACATCTCATCAGGGCTCCTGGGAGAGGTGTTCTCCGCCAGAGGCGTCTCGTCCCGAGACGGGATGGCCATTTCCCCTGTCTGTAGGGACGAGTGCCAGGATGAGGGGGCCAGAAACTCGGTCTCCTCCCAGGGGTCACTAAGTGTCAATAAATCATGAGTTCTGAAACCCTGTCGCCTGAGTCTTGCCTTCTCTCACCCCTGAGCACCTGGTGCCCCTGAATGTCCAGGGTGCGTTTAGAAGCCGCCGGGGTGCTGGCGGCGGCGGGGGGCACCTGCCAAAGGCTAAAGCAGCAGACTAATTCGGGAGATTGCCTTGCCTTCTGGCCAGCCAGTCAGGCCTGGTTCTCTTCTCTGGGCTCCAAGCCCACAACTGTCCCTGCAGCACGAGGGCATGGGCCACTGTGAGCCTGTGCAGGGGCTGACAGGAGAGGGGTGAGGCCCCAGGGGGGCACCTCACAACATGGGAGCCCGGGGCAGCCGGGAGTGGCCCAGAGACACTGAGGATGGGGACGCTCCCAGCAAAACACTCAGATGGGAGAGGGCAGGCCAGCAGCTGCCTGGGGCTCTCTTGTGCTCCTGGCTGAACTCAGACTCCAGGGAAACAGGAAAACATCCAGAATGCCTCCATGCAAACACTGCTGAGCGATGACCCCAAAATGCTGCCCGAACTCCCCAAAATGTAAGGGAGGCACTTGGGTTAGTTGGGGCCAGCTAGCCAGATTGCTGCGTCCCTGCCCCCCTCCCCACCCCCCAGCCCTGCCCTGGATGCCAAGCCTTTGCCCACGTTCGGGCCTTGCCAGACCAGCTTCTGGTCCCTTCTCAAATCACCCTGAGAGCTTTCCGTGCCCCTCCCACTCCAGGCCTCATTGCAAGGGAGGCAGCTTTATCTGTCTCCAACATGTCACCGAGAGGGGGCTGGGGCTCCCAACCAGGCCCTGAGCACCACGCCCCCAGCCCCGCCCACTCACCCATCTGTCTTCCCCCTGCCAGGTCCTCTCCGCCTCCTTGGAAGCTCCCTGCAGAATCTGCCCAGCAGAACCTCGTTCTTAAGTATATGCTGTCTTGATTGTTCACAAACGAATTGCCTCATGTGTCTGAATCTCATTGCTATAGCCAGATGGTGGCTCCACACTGCCCCCCCTACCCCACTGTCACTGAGCTCTGAGTCCCAGAGAGCATCCTCTCTGGGGCCATTGGGGAGGGAGAGTGGGGGAAGGCCTGAGGGACCAGGCACCCAGGCAGGCAGGGACCGAGTGGTTTCTGGGGCAGCTGCGTGTCACTCCCCTGCCAGACCAGCCCATCGTGATGGCAGGTGGGGGCTGGGGGTATCAGCCAGGCTTTCTGCCAGCAGGGAGACAGACCTGCATGCAGAAGCCAAGTCTGGCACAGAGGACTGTCTGCCTTCAGGAAGGGTGAGAGCAGGGTGGTCAGGACTGGGTCTTACGCCCCCGGGGGAGGGGAGTGGCGCTCAGCCTGGGGAAGCAAGCTCAACAATCAACAGAGCCAGGGAGACAAGAGACTGGAAGCCAGCTGGAAGGGCTGATGACTACCTTGCCCCCAGAGTTCCCCGCAGAGGGTCCCAGAATGCCTAGCTACCTCCTTCCTGGTCCTGCGTGGTGCTCCCATTCTTGGCAGGCTGGTCTGGGGCAGAACAAGGCTCTGAACCAGTCAAGGACAGGGCCTCAGGCCCACACACAAAGCCTCGTTTCATCTGGGGTCTGCTGGGAGTCAGTGGAGTCCCAGACATCTGAGTGCCCAAGGCCATCTGAGTGCCTCAACCTCCTCAGAGCAGCCCTGGGGGGTTGCTCCAACCCGGGTAGAGGGTCCTGGGCAGGAACCAGCTCCGGCCACAGCGCAGGGGGCCTCGGTGGCCCCGCCGCCCGTCCCAGGCAGGCCCCTCAGTCATTATGGCTGTGGCGTCCTGCCCCTCCTTCTCCCCCCTTTTTTTCTCCCCCTCGTGCTCCTTCCTGAAATTATAAAATAGGACAACATGACAAAACTTGGAAAAAAGAGAAGAGGGCGAACAAGATTTGATTTCGGGTGTAGAACAAAATAACCAAGGTGAGTGCTTAGAACTGCAGCTTAAAAAGGAAAACGACTTGAGGGGCACCGGGGCGGCCCGGTCCGTTAAGCATCTGTCTTCAGCTCAGGTCATGATCTCAGGGTCCTGGGATCGAGCCCCCGAGTCGAGTTGGGCTCCCCGCTTAGTGGGGAGTCTGCTTCTCCCTCTCCCTCTGCCCCTCTCCCCCAGCTCGTGTGCGTGCACTCTCTCTCTCTCTCTCTCTAACAATTAAATAAGCTTTTTTTTTTTTGAAAAAAAGGAAAACCTCTTGAAATGAAAGGCACCTTTTTGCCCAGAGACGAAAACAATATAAAGTCACTGAAGATGAAACATAAAGTACAAAAGCTATAAATCATAGAGTCAGAGCTCTACATACAGAGACAGCCACGTGCCCCGTTTACTGTCTGTTTTGCAGCATTATGTTCTCCGGGAACAGAGACCTCCCATCAGGAGGCTGGTTCTTAGCAGCTTCTGCTAACGCTCAGGAGGCCACTCGAGCCATCCGTCTCTCCATGCCTGATCCTGACAGCGCAGCATGCCCAGGTGGGTTCTTCTCTGGTCCAAATACGCAGTATTCAACCTAAACAGCTCGAGAATCAATGTCCTAGATATAATGCAGAATAATTACAGACCCACCCACCAAACTTGAGAGGGTCCAGCCAACAATGTCGAAGCTCCACGTGCGCCTTTGAGGGCCTACCTCTCTGCATCATCTTTGTAAAGGATTTTTTTTAAGATATTATTTTTATTATTGTTTTCTTTTTAGATTTTATTTTTCGACAGAGAGAGAGACAGCAAGAGAGGGAACACAGCAGGGGGAGTGGGAGAGGGAGAAGCAGGCTTCCCGCTGAGCAGGGAGCCCCATGCGGGGCTCCATCCCAGGACCCTGGGATCATGACCTGAGCCGAAGGCAGATGCTTAACAACTGAACCACCCAGGCGCCCAAGATTTTATTTTTTTAAAGATTTATTTACTTATTTTAGAGAGTGAGAGCACACAAGCAGGGGGAGGAGCAGAGGGAGAGAATCTCAGACTCCCTGCTAAGCATGGAGCCCGATGTGGGGCTCGATCTCACAGCCCTAAGATCATGACCTGAGCCGAAATCAAGAGCCGGCTGCTTAACGACGGAGCCACCCAGGCGCCCCATGATTTTATTTTGAAGTAGTCTCTACACCCAACGTGGGTCTCGAACTCACCACCCCGAGATCAAGAGTCACACATGCCACTGACTGAGCCAGCCAGGAGCCCACCACAACGCTGTTCTTTTTGCTTGTCTTTTTTATGAAAATGGGACTTGGCTGTGTGCGTTCTTCCCATTTTTGTCACTCAGCGTTCTGTTTCTCCGATTCATCCATGCGGTGTGGGTCTCTGGCCGTTTGCAGAGATGGAGCTGCTCTGAACATCGTTGCTGGGTCTCCTAGTACCCGCATGCGACTTTCTCTGGAGTGTTTACCCAGAAGTGAAACCAAGGGACATCACGTCTCTGAGCCTCTGCTTTCTCATCTGCAAATGGGGATGATGATGGCCCCCTCCCCGGGTTGCAGCGAGGATTAATTTAGATGTGGAAGCCGTGGTTACTCTTTTCACCCCGCCTCTGGAATTCTAGGCTGCATCCCCCAGACCCGACCTTGAGGGGTCGCTCTTCTCTCTGGGCATCAGATCTTTCCTCTGTCAGTGAGGGGAGGGGGCCATCATTGATTCCCCACTGAGGGGCCACTGAGTTACAGAGGCAGAGGTTGGAGGCTGGAAAGTAAAGCCGGCCAAGATAGAGCTCCAGCTGAGACAGCCCCCTTTTTTTGGACTGAGGTACAGGTTATAACAATGCTGTATTTCAGTATCGACCATCTGAGACCTGTGTGTGATAAGCTTAGGGGAAGGTCATGATAAACTGCTGGAAACTTCAGTGTCCCGTCTCCTCCCCCTCCCCCACTCACTGGTGCCCTGACACAGGTGTTGGTGAAGTGCCTGGGATGGCTTCTTCCTTCCACCGAGCTCCTGAGCAATTCATGGAAAGCAAAGTCCACCCCCCACCCACACTGAGTGACCTCTGCGGGGCGAGGAATGGGTCTCCAGCTGCCCCTAGAGAATGTCCTGGAAAGTCTCCTGGGCACTTCTGACTCAACGTATCCAGAACTCATCACACTCCCTGCAAGTGCCACCACATCCCAGGGATTGGCATCACCATCCTCCAACCAGGTGCCCACAACATAACCCAGGAACCACCTCCATCTGCCTCCCCCCACCCTGCCAACCCCTTCTCCCCTGTGGTGCCTCTGAGTCCTCCTAGGGAAGTCCATGTAATCTATTCTCCACAAGGTGACACCTCTGACAGTGAGCGAGGGCCCTATTAATGACTGGACTGGAACAAGATGCAAACACTCCCATGGCTGAGTGCATAACTGTATCACAAGAGGTGAGGACAATGAATAACATAATTACCAGGGCGCTGCTACTGTAGCCAATGATGGAACACAGCCTAGATCTCCACCAGCTGGAGTTGCTCATAGGGTGGAATCTTACTCAGCCTTTGAACTGCTGTTCCTGAATTTTAGAAGGCTTACATAGGAAAATGGGAAATTTAAATAATCAGAAAAATAAAAATTAGAAAAACGAGAAAAATGATGTTAAATAACAAAAGCAAAACACGAAGCATATGAAAGCATGTGCTAATTATATACATAAATGTACAAATATACAGAGAAATATATATATACATAGCCTACACACACACATAGAAAAGGCTCAAAGGAGGGGTGCCTGGCTGGCTCAGTCAGTAGAACATGCCACTGTTAATCTTGGGGTTGTGAGTTGAGTTCAAGCCCCCTGTAGGGTGTAGAGCTTACCTCCCAAAGGAAGGGCTGCCTGGGTGGCTCAGTCGGTTAAGCGTCTGCCTTTAGCTCAGCTCTTGATCCCAGGACCCTGATTCTCCCTCTCCCTCTGCCTGCGGGTCCCCCTGAATGTGCTCTCCCCCCCCTCTCTCTGTCAAATGAATAAATAAAATCTTTTTTTTTTTAAGATTTAATTTCTTTATTTGACAGAGAGAGACACAGCGAGAGCAGAGAGCAGGAATACAAGCAGGGGGAGCAGGGGAGGGAGAAGCAGGCTTCCCACTGAGCAAGGAGCCTGATGCGGGGCTCGATTCCAGGACCCTGGGACCATGACCTGAGCTGAAGGCAGACGCTTAAGGACTGAGCCACCCAGGTGCCCCTGAATAAATACAATCTTAAAAAGAAAAAGACCTAAAAGAATTACCACAATTGGAATCATAATTACCTCTGGGTGGTTGGATTTCTATTTTGGTTTCGCATTACTATTTTTGTGTTTTCCAAAAATTTGGTGAGTATGTTGTACTTTTAAGATCAGAAGGGGGGAAAAACTTTAATGCTATTTCAGGACACCAAAGCAGTTCATTCCTTCACAAGTGCTTGCTTGCTGAGTCCACTCAGACTTCAGAGTGCAGATCTGGGGACAGAGGCCCCTTTCTTCTGGGTGCACACCTTGATAAAAAGTAAAAAGGCTCTGGGGCACCTTGGTGGCTCAGCTGGTTAAGCCTCTGCCTTCCTCTCAGCTTATGATCCCAGCATCAAGCCCCTGCTCAGTGGGGAGCCTGCTTCTCCCTCTCCTGCTCCCCCTGTTTGTGCTCGCTCGCTCTCTTTCTCTGTCAAATAAATAAGTAAAATCTTTAAAAAAAAAAAAAAAAAGGTAAAAAGGCTCAGGCCAGACTTTGGGCTCCCCTGGGGTAGTGTGGTTAGGAAAATCCAGAAAGCTGAGAGGGAAGGCCTCCCAGGGAGGGCAGTGCCGCAGTAGGGCTGTGCATGGAGCTGCAAGGTGGCCACAGGGACGGGTGGTCAGCAACATTCAGTGGGCCAGCAGCCAAGGGTACACCGGTGGGTAGACCATGGGCTGTGTGGAGAGATGACCCCTGGGCCAGGAGAGACAAAGGGAACCCGCGTGAGCCCCTGAGGAGCTTGGGAGGGAGTTAGCACTTGCTGAGCGCCCTGGGCTTGAGAGGCTGTGCCGGCCTCATTCAGTATAACCGTGGCCCTGATGGTCTTCGTGATCCCTGAGGAGAGGCTCCCGGCAGCAGGGAGGCAGGCAACTCAAGGTCATGGCCAGTATGCAGCACAACCCAGGCCGCCTTCTCCCGGACAGTCGGGACTGAGCTTCCCCACCTCTGGGCATCACCTGCTGTGGCAGGGACCGCCAGATGGCTGTGGGGTGCGTGTGTGTGCCCGCGCGTTAGGGACAGAGCCCGCGTTGCGTGGCTGTCCATGTGGCTGAGTCAGAATAGAAGACGTCTGTTAGAATTCTTTGTGCGCTGGCAATTAGCCTCAAACATGCTTTACGGAAATCTGACGTCTCCGGGACCTGTTACCCCTGTGTGGCTGGAGCAGGGGGTGTGGTATGTGCAGACGCCCGGCGGACCAGGGGCCTCTGGTGCTGCCCCCGAGGGTTTGTTCTCTATTCTTCAGCAATAACAAGCCCGGGATTGTCTCTCGGGGTGGGGGCGGGGCAGTAATTGCATGCACATTTTAGCGAGCCCTCGGTGGGTGGAACTGCTTGCCATGGTGTGTGTGAGCGCTTGGCAAACGGTCCCTGAGACCATGCTGTGCTGTCCCCGCGTGCAACCGTCCCGCACATGCAAATAGGCTAATCTGAATTTGATAAAGGGACTATTTACTCAAGTGTGGGAAAGGTGGAGGGAAACCACAAAGTACCGGGCAGTGGCTGTCGCCCTCCCTGGGCCTGGAGGGATGCGAGGAGGAGCTGTATGGAGAGCGCCCCCTGCAGGAGCTGTGAGGGTCATGGCCGACCCGGTGCAACCCTGCGGAGAAGTGAGGTAGTAAGCACCCAGAACTCACTCTCCTTCCCCTTCCACATCCCTGCCCGCCTTCCCCGACCAAATCCGGGCAAAACCCCACCGGCCGATGCTGAACAGGGTTCTGGGCTGGGGATGGGGGGGGACTGGTTATGAAGGGCATCCGGCACCAATGAAAGTTGCCTTTTTTTTTTTTTTTTAAGATTTCGCTTATTTATTTGACAGAGAGAGACAAGCAAGAGAGGGAACACAAGCAGGGGGAGTGGGAGAGGGAGAAGCAGGCTTCCCGCGGAGCAGGGAGCCCGATGCGGGGCTCGATCCCAGGAGCCCGGGACCATGACCCGAGCCGAAGGCAGACGCCTAACGACTGAGCCACCCAGGCGCCACCTGAAAGTTACCTTTGAAACCAGTCTGTAGGTCAAACGATAAATTACTGTACATTCTTTTAATGGATTCCAATGTGTCTGTTTAAGATTGTGGCAGATGTGTTATGCTCAGACCCAGAAAACAAGCAATGAAAATATATCAAACTAGCCTATGAATATTTAAAATTTTATAAATATACATGAGTGCTCTTAGAAGCACAGGAAAGAATTCTGGTTCTCTCTTGGAGGTGGAGTGCAGGGGCGGCTCTACACTTTCGTGCCTCACTTTACATGCTTTGCATTATTTGAATTCGTAAAGATGAGCATGAAATGTTTTTGTAATTAAAAAAAAAATCATAAAGGGCGCCTAGGTGGCTCAGTCGTTGAGCGTCTGCCTTCGGCTCGGGTCATGATCCCGGGCTCCTGGGATCGAGCCCCGCATCGGGCTCCCTGCTCCGCGGGAAGCCTGCTTCTCCCTCTCCCACTCCCCCTGCTTGTGTTCCCTCTCTCGCTGTGTCTCTCTCTGTCAAATAAATAAATAAGATATTTAAAAAATAAAAAAATTAAAAAATCATAAAATGGAAAGAAAGAAACTCTCTCGGGAGCCAGAAGGAGTGAAGGGGCTGAAGAAGAGGCTGAGGCAGAGAGAGCCTAGGGCCCCTAGCCACAGAGACTTACTGAAGCAGGGGAAGTAGGGGTGGAGTGGAGGGCAAGCTTGCCAAGGACTTGAAACCCTCCTCCCCCCCCTCCTCCCTCCCTCTCCCTTCCTTTCCCGTGGAGATGGCAACATGGCTGGAAGCCAAGAAGGCAGCTGGTACGGCTGGAAAATCAGTTACACACAGGGGACTGAGCAAATCTATTGAGGATAATGGGAGCCAGGTTTTTCTCACTGTTGGAGGAGAATTACAAATGTGGAGCAGGAGCAGGCCTGAGGAATTGGAGCTGTCAGGGTGAATCATATGTGTGTGTAGGTATTGTATGTATGTGTATAAACACATGCATATAACAAATATATATTATATAATTATATAAATTATATATATGTATATGTATATGTGGGGGTGTGTGTGTATATACATACACATGTGTTTGTGTGTGTGCACTTTGCCCTAGCACTGCTCCCTGAGAGGGCCTAGAAGCATCGCCATCCCATTAGCAACAAGCACATCAGACACCCAGATCCTGGTTTCTAAACAACATCCTTCACCAAAAGGAATTAGGTCTTCTTGAAGAAAAGAATGATTCCAGTGTCAGTGGGGCACCTGGAAAATAAGAAAGCATTCAAAGAATTATAGTGACAGGGCACCTGGATGGCTCAGCCGGTTAAGTGTCCAACTCTTGATCTCAGCTCAGGTTTTGATCTCAGGGTTGTGAGTTCAAGTCCCATGTTGGGCTCCATGCTTGGTATGGAGCCTACTTTTTTTTTTTTTTAAAGATTTTATTTATTTGACAGAGAGACACAGCAAGAGAGGGAACACAAGCAGGGGGAGTAGGAGAGGGAGAAGCAGGCTTCCCCACAGAGCAGGGAGCCCGATGCGGGGCTCGATCCCAGGACCCTGGGATCACGACCTGAGCCGAAGGCAGACGCTTAACGACTGAGCCACCCAGGCACCCCTGGAGCCTACTTTTAAAAAATAAATAAAAATAAGAGAATAATAATGAGATGCCAAAAGGACATAAAGGGGCTCCCACCTACCAAGTCTGGGGCAATTAGAGCATCAAAATAAAAATGATGATAACCAACTACAACACACTGTAACTTAGAAATCCATGCATCATATTGTTTAAGGAGAAGGGAAACCTCTTCCTTACAGTACAAAGCCAACCAATAAAAATAGAGGGAGTGATGGAAATAGAGAAACCCTCATAGTTGTTGATTGATTCAGGCTGGAGACTTCATGGATGCTCTAAGGCTGGTAGGTGAAGATTCGATGAGGAAGAGAATACTGTAAAATACAGAGTGTATTTTCCAAAAGCAAAATTGGTGTCAACAAAATCTCCCTACCCCACATGCTCTTTGGCACACCCCCTAACAGGAGGTGAATAGTTTCCCTTTCCTTGAATCTGGGCGGAGCACAGAGATTCACCAGTAACCAAAAGAACATGGCAGGTATGACACTGTGAATTCTAAGACCAGACCAGGAGAACCCTGCAACTTCTGCCCTTTTCCCCTGGAACCTCTTTCTGGTGTTCTTGTGAACTCTCAGAACCACACAGTCATGCTGTAAAAAGCCCAAGCCACAACAAGAAACCACATGTTGGTGACAAGAATCCCCACCGAGCCTATCTGTCAGCACCCCCAGCCTGGATGCCATCTTGGAAGTGGATCCTCCAGCCACCAGCCATTTAAGACACTTCCGGTAGTTTAAGTCATTTCCGCTGAGGCCCCAGATCATGGAGGAGCAGAGACAAGGCAGACCTGTGCCTTGTCTGAATTCCTGATCCACAGAATCCAAAAGCACAATAAAATGGTTTTTGTAATGGCAGTAAATTTGAGGGTAGTTTGTTAGGCAAATAGAGACAACTGGAGAATTGGCAAAGCCTCAGATATCTCCCCACAAAATACTTATCCAGCACAAAGGAGAAAATGCTAACTTTAGGGAAGAAATGTCCAGCAGGCAGCAATTTGACAATAGAACCAAGGTTCCTATGATGATCAAGTCATCTTGATATGCTGAGAATAACACAGTATCATTTCAGCAGTACTCTGACACGTTCTGGGTCTAGTCTCAATGAAACATTGAACAGACCCAGACTGAGACGGTGCCAATTTATCCATGATATTTTTAGAGACCCACAAAAATATTTTAGTCTTAATTTATTTTGAAATCAGAAGAAATAAATGAATGTTAATAGTAATGCACCCAGTCTGGATTATATTCATCTTTGTACCAAAGCGATATGAAATGTATTTTATTTTTCCTTTATAGAGGAAGGAGCCCACAAATGCAAAAGTGCCTAGGACCTACCAAAGTCATAACGCACCCCTGTGTTGAGGACATCCTCCAAAATGAAATGTTCCAGATGAGATGGAATCAGCACACTCCACCCTGTCTCTCCCTCTGAATGCAGACATAAAACCTGGAGAGAAAAAATAAATCATAATGGGCACATTGGGGAAGAATGCCAGAATTCAAAGTATTACTGGACCAGTAGTGAATTTCCTCCTTTTCCCCCTCAAGTATCCCCTAGTCTAGACTCAACACAGTCTGAAATTTGGAAATGCACATAGCACGAACAGAGAGCTCCAGGAGCTAGAGGAGTGGGAAAGGGCACTCTAAACATGGAGAGAAATATGGGAAGATACCGTTTTTCTTTTTGCCTTTTTTCTGGTCTTTCTTTTTTCACCCCCTAGGCAATTTGAGTTGATGGTGGCAGCAGCAGGAGCAGTGACAGCAGGGGAACTTCGGGAGCCTAAATTCTGAGTGAGGAGAATCTTCATCTCTGATCAGAGGGCCTGTGATTCCCAAGAGGGAGAGCCTTAATCTCTCTCTCTCTCTCTCTCCACCCCCCCACCACTTGGCTCCACATATGGGTCCAGTCATGGGAGAATGTGGCAAAATGGGGGAAATAAAGCCGTAGCTTTCTGGACAGAGGACCACAAAAGGGAACCAACCCCAAGGAACTAGAAAGGACTGGGAAGATTGCAAAGTGGTTTATTAACTGTGTGGGTCTGACTCTAAACAGCACACCATAGATTTTGAAAACTAAACTAGGGCAGACACCACCCAGGTCCCAGACTGGCCACTGGATGGTGCATCTGGAGGACAGAGCTGAATAGCACTGCGAAGACTTTGTAAATGGAACGGATACCAAATCATAACCCACAGAAAACTGGATAAAACTTGCAGCCTGAACTCAACCAAGTCAATTGCCTATTTAAACAAGAATAACAACATTCTCATAGGATTTAGACAGAACACCGAGTCCCATGACATAATATTCAAAATGTCCAGGATACAATCCACTGATTTTGTAACAATGAACATGTATCACTCAGCCCAAAGAGAGCCAGGAAAAATCTCAATTTGCCTGGCAAGAGGCAATCCATAGATATCAACACTGACATGGCATAGAAGTTGGAAATGTCTGACAAAGACTTTGAAGCACCTGCTCTGTCTGTCTGTATGCCAGTATGTATCCATGTTGTTTTGATTACTGTAGCTTTGTAGTAAGTTTTAAAATCAGGACACATGTGTCCTACAATTATTTTTTTTCTTTTTCAAGGTTGTTTTGAGTAGTTGAGGTACCTTGGAATCCCATGTGAATTTTATTTTATTTTATTTATTTATCTTTAAAGATTTTGTTTATTTGACAGAGAGAGAGAGAGCGAGAGCAGGAACACAAGCAAGGGGAGTGGGAGAGGGAAAAGCAGGCTTCCTGCTGAGCAGGGAGCCCGATGTGGGACTTGATCCCAGAACCCTGGGATCATGACCTGAGCCGAAGGCAGACGCTTAACGACTGAGCGACCCAGGTGCCCTCCCATGTGAATTTTAGGATGGATTTATCTATTTCTGCAAAAGACATCATTGGAATTTTGGTAGGGATTTCATTGGATCTGTATATCATTTTGGGTAGCATTGACATCTTCACAATATTGTCTTCCAGACCACAAACTTGGGATGTCTTTACATTTATTTGCGTCTTCTTTACTTTCAGCAATGCTTCATAGTTTTCAGCATACAAACCTTTGGTTCCCTTACTTAAGATTTTCCTAAATATTTCATACTTTTTGATGCTATTATAGGTGGAATTGTTTCCTTAATTTTCTTTTTGAATCATTCATTTTTAGTGTATAGATATGCGATTGATTTTTGTGTGATTTTGTATCCTTCAACTTTACTCAATTTGCTTATTGGTTTTAATAGTATTTTGTATGATCTTTAGGGTCTTGTAAGATAATGCCGTGTACAAACAGAAATAATTTTATTTCTTCCTTTTCAATTTGGATGCCTTTTTATTTCTTTTTCTTGCTTAATTTCTCTGGCCAGAGACCAGAGAATAGATGTTGAATAGAAATGTTGAAAGCTCACATCTTTGTATTGTTTTGATTTTAGAGAAAAAGCTTTTAGTCTTTTACCATAAGTATGCAGTTAGCTGTGAGTTATTGTGTGGCTTTTATTATATTGATGTAGTTTCTTCTATTCCTAGTTTGTTGAGTATTTTTTAAAAGATTTATTTATTGGGGCGCCTGGGTGGCTCAGATGGTTAAGTGTCTGCCTTCGGCTCAGGTCATGATCCCAGGGTCCGGGGATCGAGTCCCGCATTGGGCTCCCTGCTCCTTGGGAGCCTGCTTCTCCCTCTGCCTCTCTCTCTCTCTCTCTCTGTCTCTCATGACTAAATAAATAAAATCTTTTAAAAAAAAATAAATAAAAGATTTATTTATTGGGGCGCCTGGGTGGCTCAGTGGTTAAGCGTCTGCCTTCAGCTGCAGTCATGATCCCAGGGTCCTGGGATTGAGCCCCACATCGGGCTCCCTGCTCAGTGGGGAGCCTGCTTCTCCCTCTTCCTCTGCCCCTTCCCCCCTGCTAGTACTCTCTCTCTCTCTGAAATAAAGAAAATCTTTAAAAAATATTTATTTATTTGTAAGAGAAAGAGAGAGAGAGAGAGAGACAGTGCATGGGGGCAGAGGGAGGGGCAGAGGGAGAGGGAGAGAAGAAGACTCTGCTAAGATGGAGCCTGACATGGGGCTCGATCCCACGACCCCAAGATCATGACCTGAGCCTAAATCAAGAGTTGGATGCTTAACTGACTAAGCTACCCTAGTGCCCCTTTGTTGAGTATTTTTATCATGAGGAGTATCAGATGATCATGTAGTTTTTCCTTTCATTATATTAATGTGATGTATTATATTGATTGATTTTCTTGTGTTGAACCACGCTTTCATTTCAGGGATATTCCCACTCAATCATGGTTAATAATCTTTTAAAACGCTGTTGGGTTTTATATACTAATATTCTGTTGGTGATTTTTGCCTGTATATTCATAAAGGATTTTGGTCTGTGATTTTCTTTTTTGTGATACCTTTATTTGGCTTTGGTATCAGAGTAATGCTGGCCTCATAGAATGAATTAGGAATTGATCCCACCTCTTCAGTTTTTTTAAGATTTTATTTATTTATTTGATAGAGAGAGAAGGCAGACGCTTAATAACTGAGCCACCCAGGCGCCGCCCCCCCCCTTCAATTTTTGGGAAGAGTTTGAGAAGGATTGGTGTTAACTCTTTTTTAAATGTTTGGTAGAGGCAACCCTGTCGGGACCCCTCTCACTCTTGAGAGCTTTTTCTGTATCTTCACTTAATAAACTTCTATCACTTTACTCACACACACACACACACACACACACACACACACACATACACACACACAAAAGGTAGAATTCATTCAAAAAGCCTTCTGGTTCAGAAGTTTTGTTTATTGGTAGGTTTGATTTTTTTTGTTTTGTTTTTGTTTTTTTTAAATTTAAGTACGCTCCCTGCCTAACATGGGGCTTGAACTCAAGACCCTGAGATTAAGAGTTACATGCTCTTGCTCTACCAACTAAGCCAGTCAGCTGTCCCTGTTTATTGGTAGGTTTTGATTACTGATTCAATCTCTTTACTTGTCATAGGTTTGTTGAGATCTGCTATTTCCTCTTGAGTCAATTTAGGTTATTTGTGTGTTTCAGGGAATTTGTCCATTTCTTCTAGGTTATCTAATTTGTTAACATACAATTGTTCACAGGATTCTCTTACAATTCTTTTTCTGTCTTTAAAGTCAGTAGTAATTTCCCCAGTTTCTTTTCTTTTCTTTTGCTTTCTTTTTTTAGAGAGAGAGAGAGAAAGAGAGCCCACGTGAGCAGTGGGAGTGGCAGATGGGGAGGGAGAGGGAGAGAATCTCAAGCAGACTCTAAGCTCTGCATGGAGCCCAGTGTGGGGCTCGATCTCACAACCCTGAGATCATGACCTGAACCAAAACCAGGAGTTGGTTGCTTAACCAACTGAGACACGCAGGCACCCCTTCCCAGTTTCATCTCTGATTTTATTTATTGTCTGCTGTCTTTTTTTTTTCCTTTGTCAGTCTAGCTAAAGGTTTGTCAATTTTGTTGATTTTTTTTCAAAGAACCAACTTTTGGTTTCATTGATTTCTTTATTGTTATTCTACTCTCTATATCATTTATTCTCATTCTAATTGCAATTATTTACTTCTTTCTCCTAGTTTATTCTTCCTTTATAATTCTTTAAGGTTTCCAGTTGATTTGAGATCCTTCTTTTTTAATGTAGGCATTTATAGCTATAAATTTCCCTCTGGGGGCTCCTGGGTGGCTCAGTCAGTTAAGTGCCTGCCTTCGGCTCAGGTCATGATCTCAGGGTCCTGGGATCGAGCCCCACATCCCTGAGCGGGGAGCCTGCTTCTCCCTCTGCCCCTCCCCCCATGCATTCTCTCTCTCTCTCTCTCTCTCTCTCTGTCAAATAAATAAATAAAATCTTCAAAAATTTTCCCTCTGAACACTATTTTCACTGCATCCTTTAAATTTTGGTATGGTGTTTTCATATTCAGTCATTTCTTTTTTCTTTTTTTTTTTAAAGATTTTATTTATTTATTTGACAGAGAGAGACACAGCAAGAGAGGGAACACAGCAGGGGGAGTGGTAGAGGGAGAAGCAGGTTTCCTGCTGAGCAGGGAGCCCGATGCGGGGCTCGATCCCGGGACCCTGGGATCATGACCTGAGCCGAAGGCAGACACTTAACAACTGAGCCACCCAGGCACCCCCATATTCAGTCATTTCAAAGTATTTTCTAATTTCCCTTGTGATTTCTTCTTTGACCCATTGTTTTTGTATTTTTTTTTAAGATTTTATTTATTTATTTGACAGAGAGAGAGAGACAGTGAGAGAGGGAACACAAGCAGGGGGAGTGGGAGAGGAAGAAGCAGGCTCCCTGCCGAGCAGGGAGCCCGATGCGGGGCTCGGTCCCAGGACCCTGGGATCATGACCTGAGCCGAAGGCAGACGCTTAACGACTAAGCCACCCAGGCGCCTCGACCCATTGGTTTTTTTAAGGGTATATTGTTTAATTTCCACATATTTATGAGTTTTCCAGTTTTCCTTCTGTTATCCATT